GAGGCGCCATAAAAAAGGTTTGCCAAGATAAAAAAAAAGTGTATTCATGAAAGTAATAGCCATAAATTGTTAAATAGATTTAGAGGATAAAAACAATACAATTCAAGGCATTAATAAACACTTATGAACAAAGGAAAGAACGAAAAGATCATTGGCATTCATATGCAAATCCTAAGAAAGTCTAGGTGAAATTCGGCATGATTTCCCCTAAGTTCATGATAATCACTCACAAACCTTCAACATCACACCAAGAACAATGAATAACAATCTCAAAACTACATCCACCTCAAGAATTTCTTAATCAACAAGTAGTAGCATGAAAAACCTAATGTAAAATCAACATATTCAAGTAAATACATTGAAACCAAATAAAATCAAGGTATACATGCATAATCATCATAAAACAAGTTCTACTATCAACAACCAATCAATTGCAACAAGGAAATCCCTTGAACCACAAACATCGAACAATTCATTACTAACAATCTCAATATTACCACAATTCATACTTTAACATATAAAACATTGTAAAACTATAAGAAATTGAGAAAATGAACTTGAAAAAGCTATAAAAAAACATACCATAATTGATTGGAGCCTAGAAATTGGGGAAAATTGAAAAGGTGCAGCTTTGTGAGGAATTTTGGGTGTAGATTGTAGAAATTGAGTGAAGGATGAAAAATAAGTGAGAAATAGAGGAGATTGGAGTGATTTTGATGCAGGTTTGAGGTTGAAATTGGGTGTGGTAATGGAGTTTTAGAGTGATAAGGAGAAGAGGAGAGAGAGAGAGAGTCGAATGAGGGTAGGAAAGAAGAAGGTGTTGTGCGGCCCTTTCCTTCTTTTTTTTAAAAAAAAAAATTAACCCCGACAAAGGTTTGGTCGAACCCTAGGTAGGTTCGATCGAACTTTACCCAAAGTTCGGTCAAACTTGCTCAAGGTTCGGTCGAACCTGCTCTCTAAAGCTGAATTTTCAATGGGCAGAAAGTTTCCAGTTTTTAATTTCAGAGGAGGTGCGACTGAACTCAATTATGTTCGGGAAAACCAAGGTTCGGTCGAACCCCCTATGTGTTCGGTCGAACGTACTCTGAATCCTTAATTTTTGCAATTCTGGCAAAAAGTTTTCAGATTTAGCTTCCAGAGTAGGTGCGACCGAACTCAAGAAAGTTCGGGAAAACCTTTCATAAAGTTCGACCGAACCTTCAGGGAGTTCGGTTGAACCACCTAATTTTTTTTTCAAAAATGCTCATTTTGTAGCAAAATATGCACAAACACCCCTTTTCAAAACACACTAAAACACCACACAATCATGCTAAAGGCAAGGCATAACAATGATTTCAACTCGACCAAATCCTAAAAACACAAAAATCCATCAATCCAAAATTGTAGATAGAAAAATTAAAGAATCAAGAAGAAAGAAAGAGAAGAGTAGAAAGGGTTAGAAACTCGGGTTGCCTCCCGAAAAGCGCTTCTTTATGAGGTCACTAGCTTGACCATGAAAACAATTCATCAAGGGGGAGGCTTAGGATCCAAAGGATCAAGCATTAGACATTCAATGAGACCAACTTCTTCCTTGCAAAAGTAGTGCTTCAAACGATGACCATTGACCATAAAATTGTTACCATTCGCATCTAACTCAAAAGAACCATAAGGAGTAGTCTTCGATATCACAAAAGGACCCGACCACTTGGACTTGAGTTTACCGGGAAACAAACGAATCCTTGAGTTGAAAAGCAAAACCTTGTCTCCAACCTTAAAGCTCTTGTTTCAAATATGTTGGTCATGCCACTTTTTGGTCTTCTCCTTATATATTCTTGAGCTCTCATAAGCATCATATCAAAGCACCTTATATTCTAACTAAACCAGCAAGTGACAAGCCTTTCAATTGACCAAGCTATAGTGGGTCGTGCCGATTGAAGTCTTGTACGCCGTCCTAAGTGAACATAGTGTGTCATCAAGCTTGAGAGACCAATCCTTCCTTGATTTGTTCACCATCCTTTCAAGTAGATTCTTGATTCCACGATTCGAGACCTCCACTTTTCCTTGAGTTTGAGGGTGGTAAGGTAATCCAACCTTGTGATGAAAACCATACCTCTTGAGAAGAGCTTCAAATTGCTTTTTGGCGAAATGGGAGCCTCCATCACTAATTAACATCCTCGGAACCCCAAACCTAGGAAAAATGATCTTCTTTAGAAGCTTAAGCACAACCTTGTGATCATTGGTAGGTGAGGGTATGGCTTCAGTCCATTTTGTCACATAATCAACCGCTACTAATATATATAAATTTCCACAAGAAGAAACGAAAGGCCCCATAAAGTCCACCCCCCAAACATCAAAGGGCTCAACTTCTAAGACATTTTGTTGAGGCATTTAATCTCTTTTGGTTATGCCACCACTCCTTTGACACCTATCACATTATGAAACGAACTTGTGGGCATCCTTATGCATCGTTGGCCACCACAATAAAAATTGAAAGATTTTTTCCACAGTCTTATCAACACCCCCATGCCCTCCACATGGTACTGAATGGCAACGCTCAAGAACTCCTTCGATTCCATGATCTGGAATAAATTTTTGAAAAAGGCCATCTCCGCATTGTTTGAACAAGTATGGGTCCTTCCAAAAGTACCTCCTCACTTCCTTGAAGAACCTCTTCTTTTGTTAAGCAGAAAACTCCGGGGGAATGACTCCACAAGCAAGATAATTGGCGATGTCCGCATACCAAGGGCTACATGTTGAAGACATATCCATGAGAGTTTCAAATCCTATCTCATAATTGATTGGCCCATCACTTTTATTCTAAAAAAGTAGCCTAGACAAATGATCTGCAACGTAGTTCTCTACTCCCTTTTTGTCCCTCATTTCCATGTGAAAATCTTGAAGAGAGAGAACCCAACGGATTAAGTGAGGCTTTGCTTCCTTCTTAGTCATGAGATATTGCACCGCAATATGATCCGTGTACAAAATCACCTTAGAGGAAATAAGATAGGACCTAAACTTATCATAGGCAAAGACAACCGCTAGCATTTTTTTCTCCGTTGTTGTATAGTTCTTTTGAGCTTCATCAAGAGTCCTACTTGCATAGTAGATGACACATGATTTTCTTCTTTATTTTTTCAAGCACGGCACCCACTGCAAAATCACTCACATTAGCTCAAAAGGAAAGCTCCAATCCGGAGCTTGCACAACAGTAGAGGAAATGAGAGCTTCCTTGAGCTTACGAAATGCCTTAAGGAAAGCCTCATTGAAGTTAAAAGAAACATCCTTTTTGAGTAATTCAGTCAAAGGTTTGGCGATTGACGAAAAGTCTTTGATAAATCTCCGGTCGAAACCGGCATGCCCAAGAAAAGCTCGTACTCCTGTGATAGAAGTAGGAGGGGGCAATTTCTCAATCACCGAAACTTTTGTCGGATCAACCTCAATGCCATTTTTTGAAACTTTATGGCAGAGGACAATGCCCTCCTCGACCATGAAGTGGAATTTTTCCCAATTCAAAACCAAACTCGTCTCTTGAAACCTTTTCAAAAAAATTTCAAGGTTAAAAATACAAGTGTCAAAAGACGAGCCACGAACACTAAAATCATCCATGAAAACTTCAATTTTTTTTCAAGCATATCGGAGAAAATGGAGGTCATACATCTTTGAAAGGTAGAAGGAGCATTGCATAAAGCGAATGGCATTATTTGGTATGCAAATGTCCCATATGGACATGTGAAAGTAGTTTTCTCTTGATCGCTAGGATAGATAGGGATTTGGAAAAATCCGGAATACCCATCCCAGAAACAAAAGAAAGCATGGTGAGAGAGCCTCTCAAGCATTTGGTCCATGAATGGGAGAGGGAAATGATCTTTCTTGGTGTTTTTGTGCAACCTTCTACAATTAATACACATTCTCCACCCGGTCACCGTCCGGGTGGAGATTTCCTCTCCTCCTTCACCTTTGATTATGGTCATCCCACCCTTTCTTGACAACCATGGTCATCCCACCTCTGAGATAGCATAGATGATGCCCGCCTCGCGTAGTTTAAAAATTTCTTTCTTGACAACCTCTTCAAGGTTAGGGTTCAACCTTCTTTGAGGTTCAATGGAGGTGGAATGATCATCTTCAATATTAATACGATGCATGCATAAAGAAGGGCTAATACCTTTGATATCATCAATGCTATACACTATCACATCCTTATATTTTATCAAAACATCAAGTAGTTTTTCCAAATTAAGACCATTTAGGGTAGAATTGACAATAATAGGGTATTTTCCCTCTTTATCAAGAAAAGCATATTTCAAAGAAGGGGGAAGGGGCTTGAGTTCTACCTTGGGAGGAGGCTTAGAATTCTCCTCCAATTTCTCCTCCTTGGACTCAAGCTCAATCTCAACTTGTTGTTCAACCTCCTCCTTTGAGGATTCCTCCATTGCCATGACAAACTCTTTAGCCTCTTGAGAGTGGAACTCTTCTTTGCATGTTAGATCTTCTATCATTGGATCTTGAGGCCTCATCATGACCCTCCCCAAGCGATCTAGCTCCTCACTTAGAACATCAACCCTATAGAATTTTTCAACCATGGGGGTCTTGAGCAACTTAGAAAACTCAAAGACAATCTTCTCATCGGCCACCTCACATGTGATGGTGTTGTTCTTGCAATTGATGACCGCCCCCAAAGTTGTAAGAGCTTCACGTCCCAAAATCAAAGGAGTGTTAACATCTTCCTCCATATCCATCACTACAAAGTCATAAGGCACGTAGATTTGTCCCACTTGAATTGGAACATCCTCAAGCTCTCCACATAGTAATTTAACCGACCAATCGGCCAATTGAATTGTCTTCCTTGTAAGGATCATCTCTATATTGAGTTTTTGAGCAATGGATAGAGGGATTTAACTAACACTTGCTCCAAGATCGGCTAAGGAGCCCCTAGCTTCCATGCTCCCAATTTTCACTGGTAAGGTGAAACTTCCCGGGTCTTTTTCCTTCTTGGGCAACTTATGTTGGACAAGAGCACTCACTTAATGTGGAAGGGTGATAAGCTCATCATTTAGCTTCCTCTTGTTGGTGAGAATATATTTGAGGAACTTGAAGTTAGATGGCATTTGTGTCACAACTTCTAGGAAGCGGAGGTTGATGTGCAAATTCTTCATGACAATTAGGTATTTTGCAAACTTGTCATTCAACTTCCTCTCTGCAAGCCAACCGGGGAAAGGAACTGGTCCATCTAGATTCCTAGCCTCACTAGGAATGGAAGTTGTCTTCTCATTGTCAAGCTTCTTCTTCTCCGAACCTCCTTCTAGCTCATCAACTTTTTCTTTCTCACCTCCCTTGTTTTCATTCACACTCTTCTCTCCTCCCTTCTTTTCCTCAATATCCCCCTCGTTTGGCCCTTCATAGGAAGTTCCTGACCTCAATGTGATCTCCTTGCATGTATTGGGTTTTGAGTTGTGAGATGGGTTAGGTTGTGGTTGTCCGGGTAGAGTAGATGGTGAATTGAAAGGAGTTCTCTCGGTCAGTTGAGCTAGTTGTGAATCAACCATTTTGTTGTAAGCTCTTATCTCTTGCATTTTTCGCCTAAAAGTTTGCATTTTTGTATGCATGGCTTGAAGGAGTTGAGTTTGCGTTAGCTCCGCTTGAGGTGCTTGTTCTTGATGATTTCTTTGAGGTGGTTGGGGTTGATTGTTGTATTGGTTATTCCTTGGATAGCTTCCTCTTGGGTTTTGGGGTTGAGATGAAGGTGGATTTTGATATTGAGGGTTGGAGTTGTAACAAGGTTGAGCTTATTGGTTCTATTGTTGAGGTTAAGGTGCAAACCCGGGTGGTGGTTGTCTCCAAGCTACTCCACCGTCGCTTCCTATAAATCCCTCTTACCTTGTGTTGTATGCCGCTATATGCTCGGGGCTCAAACCTCCAAATTAAGAGGTATCATGGTTCGTTCCTCTACAATTTTGACAAGAGAAAGAGTTAACTTGAGAGGAGCTTGCTCCACTGCTTGAACTTGCATTCACACTCGTGTTCAATTTGGAAATCCCCTTTGTTAGTTGATCAATTTGATGTTATAATTGATCAACTTTCTCCAATTCATAAATACCACCTTTCTTTTGAGCATTTCTTCTTCGGACCCACGAAGAGTTATTCTTTGCTACCTCTTCTATTGTGGCTTCAACTTGATTTTGAGGGATTTTGATTAATTGACCACCCACCCCCGCATCCAAATTGGCTCTTGACATGGGTTCCAATCCGTCGTAGAAAAACCGCATGAGCATCCCTTGATTGTACTCATAGTGGGGACACGCTTGCACCAACTCTTTGAATCTCTCCCAAGCTTCACCAAGACTTTCATCGGCTTCTTGCTCAAATGATGCGATTTTCCTTCTCATTTCGGCGGTCTTCTCCTCGGGGATAAATCGCTTCAAGAACGCCTTTACTACCTCCCTCCATGTTGTGAAAGTGTTAGGTTTTACTTTCTTTAGCCATTTCTTTGCTCGTTCGATGAGAGATTGCTGGAAAAGGTGCATAAGAATGTAGTCTAGACTCACTTCATTGGTTTGCATCATTGCGCACAATTCAAGGAATCGGTCCAAATGTTCAATAGGAACCTGATTTGCACTTCCAGAAAATTGTTGCGATCGGACCATTCTAGTATATTGTTGATGGATTGAGAAGTTGGTTTCCATGACGGGTAGCAAAATCCCTCCCGTGAGCTCATAATCCTCTGGATTTCCGAAGTCACGAAACAAAACATCATTTTCTTGTCCCGCCAATTATCCGCTTTGTGAACTTGAAGAGTAAGTATCACTATCACTATCAACTATATCACCAAAACCTCTTCCCTCGTCTTGATAAAGCTTACAGACTTTTCTCAAGGTTCGGCTGATCTCGTGGTCAATTTGGTGTGAGGGTGCTTATTAAGACCTCCTAAGCATTCACCAAAGCTAAGAAAACAATTAGAAATGACAAGGATGATAAAACAAACAAAACAAAAAGAAAATCAAGTAAAATGACTCTAAAAAAAGCAATAGTAGACGCTAAAAAAGCCGCTTCCCCGGCAACTGCGCCAAAATTTGATCTAGGGTTATATAGGTCGTTAAGCTACTCCCCTAATAAAATTAATCATTTATAATACTTAAACTTACACCAAACTAGTTAGTGGCAAGTAAAGGCTCGAACCACTAGGGAAGCACACTAATTCAACATCAATATCACTGTGCAAGAGTAAAAAGGGGATTGTTTTTTGTTGGTTTTGTTGAGTAAGAACACTAACACAACAAATAGGCAAGAAAATGATGATTAAAACCAAGGGAAAATGACGCTAGGGATTTGGGGGTGTCAAATATGATTAGAAAGAGGGGAATAATGATGATTATCATGAAACACATGCCAAAGAACACAAGATTCTACCTAAACAATTCATTCTCATGCAATAGTCTAGGAAAATCAATGAAAGAGGTCTACAATAATAAGGATCATTCTCATGCATCCTATTAGTCACAATAAAATCAAGAGAATAAAGAAGCAAAATCCATAAAACTTCACTTTAATAACTCATTCTCATGAAATCATTAAAATAGAAAACATCAAATAGAGTGCAATAATAATCTCAAGCTATTAAAAATCATGTCCTTCATAAATTTATGATAAAAGTTCAATCCAACCATCATCATTCATCCAATATCAACTCATATTTTCCACCCCCTTCCCTAGCTAAAAGATTAGCCAAGAGAAGGGAGATTAAACATAATATCAAAACTAGAAATAAACTCAAGAAACTCATAACAAAACATGATTAAAAACAATAAAATCAATAACAACTAGATGAACTAATAAGATTAACAAAAATAAGCAACAATAAAACAATTAAAAAAAGGTAAAGGAAAGGAATAGAGATTACTAAAGAAAGGATTAATGAAAGATGAAAACTTGGATTCTTGCTTGATTGAAGATTAAACTTGAGCAAAGTTTAATACAAAAAGGCAGGTTGAATAACAATCTACTTTTCTCTCTCTAGATTAAGCTAATATTCTGAAATTAGAACTAAGTAAAATTCATTACATTCAACGTTCTAAAAACGGGACTTATATAATCCATACACAGCTGGCTAACGTCGGCAAAAGGTTCGACCAAACCATGGGTAGGTTCGGTCGAACATCTTGGTAGGTTCGGCCGAACCATGGGTAGGTTTGGTCGAACCTCCCTACTCCTAGTTCGGTCAAACTTCTGGGGTTTGGCCGCTTCTGCAAAATGCTGAAATTTGAAAAGTTACTGCCTCCAAAGTACGGTCGAACCTTGTGCAGGTTCGGTCACACCTAAGGTTCGATCGAACCTTTCTTGAGTTCGACCACACCTCCTCTAGAACTTGATTTCCTCAGCTCCAATTTGACTTAAGCTTTCTCATCTTTGAAGACCCTGGTTCCTACAAAACACGAGCATGGAAATCAAAGTAAAAAGTAGGCAAAAATCTAGAAAAAAGGAAGATAATAGAGAAGGGGAAGGAGAAAACAAAACTAAGGTAAAAATGCTTAGAAAAGGGGAAAATAAGTGCAAATGAGGGGAGAATCCTTAGAAGAAAAAGGATAAAAGAGTGTCTTAAATGCCACTCATCACTTACCCCGCCTTTCTCGGCCTCAACGGTTGCTCTCTTAGAGAGCGCGCTCTCTTGCGCAATTGCGTAGCAGACTTAGTCGGAGTCTTTGCTGGGTCAACCATCTTCAAGGCGTCGGCTGTAAGAAAAAAATGAAAAAGTTAGAGAAAAATAATAAAAAGTTGGAAGTACAAAATGAAAAACAACAAAAAAGCTTTTTGCTAGTGTTCGATAAAATGCGCAAGTGAAGGTTGCGTTGACTTTCTCTCTTCTCTCTCTTCTCCATGGTTCTTCATCTTTGATTGGTTTCTTCATCAATTTTGAATTTCAATGGCTAAGAAGAAGAAGCAGACTATTTCTACACCTCAAGTAGCGCAACAAAAGACTGCTCATGAAGCTTTTGATTCGATATTGCAGAATTTGAGAAACTCAGGCACATCTTTCGTTCCTAGTCCGATCCAAGAGGTGGATGAGTTGGTTAATCCGGCGCCGGCGTTAGTGCATCCATCTTGTGGAGCTATTCCCAAAAGTGATGCTGAGACCATTGCTCTGTTTGCTGAAGCTACTGCTAGGCCGGATTTAAGACAATCCAATGAAACAGTACCTAGGGTTTCTGGGTTTACTGTTCCATTGGGTGTTGGTGGATCTGAGCGTCATGTTGAGCTAGGAATTCATCCTCGCCATTCCTCACCCTCCTTAGAGCAGAACACGCACAAGAATAGTGAGGATCGAGCTGCTTCTTCCCCTGCTCTGGAGCTTAATTCGCGCAAGAACAATGAGAATTGAGCTGCTCCTTTTACTGGAAATTTGGCTGCTAAAGGGGCTTTTTTATTCTTTTGTTGCCCCGAAAGTCCCAGAAGGGAAACAAATTACTGAGCTACAGGCAGCCGAGCTTGAGGCAGGTAATAAAAAATGGGCTAATGCTTTAATTTTCTATGTGGTTGGCTTTTACCCCACTATTGTTGTTGTTCTTCGATTTTTTGCTCAACAATGGAATGATATGCAAAAACCAGATGTTTATTGGCATGATGATGGGTACTTTATCGTTAATCTTTGTTCTAGTGATGACAAAGATACTATACTTTGTTCTGGTCCTCATATGTTCCTTGGAAAACCAGCAATAGTGAAGCCTTGGTGTCCTAATTTTGATTTTAATGCTAAAATTCTTAGAACTGTTCCTCTCTGGGTTAAGTTCCCTAATCTCCCACTTAATTGTTGGGGATCTGACACTCTTAGCCGCATTGGTAGTTTGCTTGGAGTGCCAATTTGTGCTGATGAATGTACTACTAGACAACTTATAGTGTCTTTTGCTAGGGTTCTAATTGAAATTGATGTTACAAAGTCTATGCCTAATTCTGTATGGGTTGAGAGTCCTTCAAAGGAACTATTAGAGCTCAAAGTAGTGTATGAGTGGGCCCCACCTTTTTGTTCTAAGTGCAACAAGGTTGGTCATGATTGCTCTGTTAAGCCTGCTATGTCTAAGAAGGTTCCTAAGAAGCCGGCTCCTGTTCCTCCTAAGCAAAAGCAGGTCTAGGTTCCTAAGCCTAGCCAAGCCCCTACTCCTGCTACTGTTGTTGATGTTGGTGCTTCTGTTCATGGACAATCTATCATTACTCCACAGGTTCATACCTCTCAAAATTCAAATGAGGGGTGGAGAATAGTTGGAAGGAAGACAAAAAGCCAACAAACTAGAGTTCATCAGCCTGCTTCTACCTCTAATGCTTTTGTTGCTTTATTTGCAAATGAAATGGATGGTGCAGGTGGTTTCACTATAAATCCAAGCGGGGGTGAGGTTAATCCCCCTTTGGTGTCATGATTTCCTCTATTTGGAATGTCAGGGGCCTGAATGACCCTAGCAAAGTTGCCTCTGTAAAGAGGTTGCTTCATTCTCATTCAATTGATGTTGTTGGTTTGCTTAAAACAAAAATCAAATTGAAAAATGTTCTCACTTATCAGAGGAAGTTTGGCTCTTCTTGGCTTTGGTTGTGTAATTATGACCATTCTCCCAAAGGGAGGATTTGGCTTGGTTGGAATGCAGATAGAGTAATTGTTAATGTCTTGAAGGTTCATGAACAGTTCATTCATTGTAGTGTTTCTTCTAAGGACCTCTCTGCTCAATTTCATCTTACTGTTTTTTATGGGCTTCACTCCATTCATGATAGGCTTCCTTTGTGGGAAGGTCTTAGAAGCATCTCTATTCAGCATTATCCTTGGCTTTGTGCTGGTGACTATAACTCTATCCTTCATACTTCAGATAGGCTTCATGGTACTGATGTTACTGATTATGAGACTAGAGATTTTCAGAGTCTGGTTGATAATTTGGACCTCATTGAGATTAAGAGCAACAGAGCCTTCTACTCTTGGTCAAATAAGGCTCACACTAGTCCTAGATCTCTTTCTAGGATTGATAGTCTTTGGTAACCAAGCTTGGCTGGCCTCTCATGGGCATGTTCATATTGTTTATCTCCCCCCCTCTTTATCCGATCATAGTCCAGTTCTGTTAGATGTATGTTCTGCCCCTGTTGGGAGAGGTAGGCCATTCAGGTTTCTAAACTGTATTGCTGATCACCCTGATTTTCTTGATACTGTTTCTCAGGCTTGGGGTTCTGGTTGTTCTGTTTGGTAGAAGCTTAATTCTGTGAAGTCTAGTATTAAGTCTCTTAATAGCAAGCAGTTTGGACACATTAAGGAAAAGATTGATCATGCTAATATTAAGCTTTCTGGAATTCAGAACTTAATGGCTCATAATCCTGATGATTTGGATCTTTATGCTAAGGAATCTGATGCTATTAAGGTTGTCAAACACTAGAATGATATTCAGGAAAGCATCTTCAAACAAAAATCAAGGATTAATTGGATTAAGCTTGGAGATGGCAATTCTCATTATTTCTTCTCTGTGATGAAGAGTAGACAAGCAAGAAATAGAATTGACTCCATTTTTTATTCTAATCAGGTGTTGTTCAAGGATCCAGATGCTATTTCTCATGAAATTATCTCCTTCTATAAGTCTCTTTTAGGGACTCAGGCTCCTTGGCTCCCTACTATTGACCTTGTCACTATGAGGAGGGGTAAGCAGCTTAGCTTTGCTGCTCAGAGCTATCTCATTAGGCCTATTTCTCATGATGAAATTGATGCTTCCCTTAAGGGAATTGATAACACTAAAGCTCCTGGTATTGATGGCTTTAACTCCCTTTTCTTTAAGAGAGCTTGGCATAGTGTTATTGGTTTTTTCACTAAAGGGACCTTGCCTAAGCAATGGAATTGTACAACTATCACTCTTTTTCCTAAAATCCCTAATGCTTCTCAGGTTATGGATTTTAGACCTATAGCTTGTTGTATTGTGGTTTATAAAATCATTTCTAAAATCATAACTGCTAGGCTTGCTACTATAATTGGTGAGGTGATTGATGATGCTCAGGCAGGGTTCATTCCAGGCAAGCATATTGGTGACAATATCCTTCTTGCAACTTAATTGATCAAAGGCTATGATCACAAATTTATCTCTCCTAGGTGCTTGTTTAAGGTGGATTTGAAGAAAGCCTATGATTTCGTTGAGTTGGGATTCTTGATCATTGTTATGCAGGAGCTTGGTTTCCCTCAGAATTTTGTTAGCTGGATCTGGACTTGTCTTACTTCTGTCTCCTATTCTATTCTTCTTAATGGTTTTCCTGCTCCTCCCTTTGAAGCTAAGAAAGGCCTAAGGTGATTAGGGGATTTTTCTCCCACCAATCGGAATGCGCCACGTGGGCCAATCAGGTCCTGCCAAGTGTCACCCAGTTGGAACTGTCAGGGCTTGCCACGTGGCATGCGCTTATTCGTCCACCTTGGACCTGTTATGTCATGACATGTGGCATACTCCATGCCTAATGGAGAAACCGGCCACCCAGGCCCAACTTCCGAGGGAAGCCCAATCAGCCCTAGGTTAACCTAAACCTAGGATGGGCACGTTTCCCAAGGTTATAAATACCTCCCTTAATCCTCATTAAGGGGGATTACGAAAGAGAACGGAAAAAAACACATTAATTACACACAGTAATAACCGGCTGATCTCGCTAACAAAGCAGATTACCTACACTAAACACTCTCACCTAGAGAGACCCAATCACTTTAATTTCCGCATTAATTACTCCTTAATCAAGTACTAACTTGACCGTTGGAGGCGGAGCTCCCAGGAGTCTCCGTTATTTTGCAGGTACAGGCGTCCGGTTCCAGTCTCGGAATTGTAACTCTCCCGCAGGACATCAGAAAACCCCGAAACATTTGGCGCCGTCTGTGGGGAGAGTACTTCTGAGATGGCATCCAAGTCTGTACCGACTTCTGAAGAGAGGCGTCCCTAGACGACCCTCAAGTTCAGTCGGACCATGATACCGAGAGTGAATTTGAAGTTGAAACTCACACAGCTTCAGACAGGACCCTAAGGGCCCGACGTACCCGTCATACCGAAAGGAGGGAACGGGAATATCTTCAAACTGGAAGTGAGCCAGCAGGCGCACCGTTTGTTCGGCAACAGCCGACTGATGGGTCTGCTCCCATCACAAGGAACGAACTCATGACCTTCATGAGGGACTTCAAGGGAGAGATTCAAGAGTTGATCAACAAGAAGCCGCCTGCTCCAGTTAAGGAGCAGTCGGCTAAGAAACCCTCCACTTCACTGAAGAGGAAGCCAGTTCAAGGGCGAGAGGCGACTCCTCATCCTAAATCTAGGAAGCGGGAGCCACCTGCCCTTGATTTCACAAAATTCCGTTTTCCTACAGGAAATAGGAAACCTGTTCGTCATATTCAGGCGAACAGGTCGAAGCAGACATTCACAGACGCTCGGCTACTACTAGAGCAGAAGAAGAGTGACCGATTGTCAGAGTCGGCCTCTACTTCAAACTTTCAAGACAGTCTGCGAAATGCCTCGATGTGGCATACTCAGTCGTATCATGAGAGTCAGTCAGGCGGCACCTCCCGTCAGTCCGGCTTTCATAGCGACCAGGCGGTACCAAACTTACCATTTGTGCCGCAACAACAGTATTTTTTGCAGCCACCTCCGTTTGGTGGACCTGCAGCAAAAAACGTCCAACCTATGGACTGGCAGCTACGGTTGCTTAGACTTGGTGAACAGCCGTCGGCCTTCTCCAAGGAAATTACTGAAGCCGCTCAGCCGGCCAAAGTGAAAAATGTACTAGTAGGCGCCTATGACGGCACTACTAACCAAGAAGACCATCTGATGGCATTCACCAACCTGATGTACCTTCAAGGGTTGGATGATCCCACCTGGTGCAAGTGTTTCCCAGCGACTCTCAAAGGAATCGCACAACAATGGTTCGGCAACCTGCCGACTGGTTGTGTAAATAGCTTCAGGACGCTTGCTTACCTATTCACCTCTAACTTCGCCATGAACATTCCTGCGAAGAAAACGACCCTTGATTTAGGAACAATTCAGCAGGGCGAGAAGGAGGGGCTTCGTTCTTACATCAGGCGGTTTAACCTGATGAGAATACAGATTCAAGGGTTACCGGATGAGGTAGCCTATACTGACTTTTTCAGAGGTCTCAAAGACGGGTCTACCTTCAAATTTGATTTGGTTCGAAAGAGGGTGGCGACTCTTCAAGAGGCCTTGATTGAAGCAGAAGCCTATATACAGGCGACTGATCTTTGTACGGTAAAACAATCGGACGGGAAAAGGTTCGACAAAAGAGAAGGACGACAGAAACAGTCGTCAAACAAAGATGAGAAGAGAAAAGAGGTCTGGGCGACTGATTCCTCTAAACAGCCGGCCCAGAAAAAGAAAAAAGAATTCAAACCATACTCCCCAAAGTATGCGTTTAACAAGGATAACCAGTTTATCCTAAAAGAAATCAAGGGACGGATCTCAATTGAGAGGCCGGTCCCCATGAAGGGTTCTGCAAACAACCGGAACCAAGATAAATTCTGTGCTTATCATGATGATGTTGGTCATCACACCAATGACTACATCAGTCTCATGCGGTATCTGGACCGCCTGGCTGAGCAAGGTGATCTTGACACTTATGTCAAGAAATCTACGGGGAACACTTCCTCAAAAAAGCGGTCGGCCAAAAAGAATCAACAGGCCGACAGCTCTGATACAGATGATCCAGTCGTCTACACCATTGCAGGCGGCTTCTCAGGAGGCGGCCCCACTATTAGGGGCAACAAAGACAATATCAGGCGGTTAGATGTAAATTCCGTTCACCAAGAACGGTCGTCCAAATATTCATTTCCTGAGATTGTCATCACTGAAGAAGATCTAGGAGGGGTAAGAGGGCCGCATGACGACCCTATCGTTATTGAATGTAAAGTGGCCAACCAGAGAGTTGGCCAAATCCTCATAGATACCGGAAGCTCCTCAGATCTCATCAGTAGCAAATGTCTGTCGAAACTAAAATATCAGACTGATTGCATACATCCGGCCTCCCACCCTTTAGTAGGGTTTGGAGGAGGAGTCGTCCACCCACTGGGACGAGTTGATTTACCCATCCGCCTGGGCGAAAAAGGGGAAGGACGACACATGGTAGTCCGGTTCCTGGTAGTAGAAGAACTCTCGGCCTACAACATGATTCTGGGTCGACCAACCCTGAATAATTCCAAGGCTGTTATAATCCCATCTCTTATGTTGCTCAAGTTTGAGAGGGATAATGGAACAGTCGGCTCCCTAAGGGGAGATCAGAGGATGGCCCGAGAGTGCTATCTCTCGGATGTCAAGCCCACTGTTATGGCCACTGGGTCAAGCGGTGAAAAAACAGACCCTGACAATGTCAAGGAGAGTGCGCCTGTTCAAGAAGCAGGCGGCAAGAAAAGAAAGGCATCCCA